TGAACACTGTATTGACTGGGTTCCAAAGACATTGACATTTTGTGTTTTCAATCTTTGAGTCTAGCAACTTTCTTATGTTATCATCATGTAATCCTTCCTCTAAGAATTCTTTGCTCTTCAATTTACACTGTATCACAACAGCAGTTAGGGCATCCTCAAGATGTTTTAAATGTTCAAATCCTTTAAAAAAGTTATTGTTTTTTTTGAGTTTTGAGGACAATAGTAAGCCTGAAGGAGCAAGATTAGAGCTGTGGGAGGGAAGAATGAGATCATGTTTTAGGAATTCTCTTAAGATGGCACTCATTATAGGTGTATTATTGTGATGGAAAAAAAATTATTTTGATGGAATTTTCCTGACCTTTTCCTAATCAATGCAATTTTCAAATTTTCTTAAAATTTTTGGAAGCTACTGTTTTGACTGGACCTTTTATATATAATATTTAAATATGGTACTCGGACAAGTCTAAGACAATGATTTTACTGAGAAAACTTGTCCATAGCCATCCACCGATCACGTAGACATTATATTTGGAATGAACCCATATTATTTATGAATTGGAATCCTGATGGCCATATTTTCTGACTTACCATCACATATAATTCATCAACCACATTGACTTCTTGAGCCAAAACTGAGGTATGACCCCTGCTAAAAACAAAAGCCAGGTAATGGGCACTACAGCTTTTTCAAAGAATCCAACTACTTAATTATGATGAAAAAAATGTTTTTCAGCAAATTTTAGTTGGGCATTACAGTAGGGAATGGTGGTTTGCACCCGTCTCTGGTTATCTGTTGTATGTCATAGTAAAGGAGAGCGCTCTCTTATGTATAAGAAGATTATGATGTCAACAAACTTGAAAGTGATGTGGTCACAGATGAAATACATACGTGATATGTGCATAGACACATACAGCCGTATGATACCTTGCTTAAGATGGTTTTAGAGTACCAATTAATTAACCAATGGATATATTTGATTAAAGCAATCCAACTTTATACAATGCATTATTTATGAAAAATATATTGGCCTCTAAAAAAGCTAAAAACTTGAAGTGAATCTTATTATCTAATTCTCAACATAAAAGGTACAAGTGAAATGAAATTAAGACAATTCACAGTTAAACAGCGGAAACAGCTAAGTTTAGCACAAGTTTATTGACATAATGAATGGGCTAGAATACATTCCCCAAGAACAGGGATACTTGTTTTGTTCAATGTTTAATTAAAAAATGCTTATTTTCTAGCTATTAGCTATTCAATGCATATTAAAGTTTTGTTCTGTGGAAAATTAAGTTTATTTAAAACTCAAATGGACAGTTAAGAATTGATAAAGGCAATTATATTAAGACATAATGGATGGCAATATTATGTTACTCATTAATATAGCTTTTTAAGTTATTTATATGTGGAAGATACTCCTTATGAGAGGTCAACACACAATTGCATTTCACTAGGAGAGACTTCCTCTATACTAGCTAGTTCTGGTATTGCAGTGCTTGAAGTATTTGGCGACTAACTAAAACATTGCTGGTTCAAACCCACCAGCCACTCTGCAGGCAAAAGATGTGGCAGTCTGCTTCCATGAAGATTTATAGCCTTAGAAATCCTATACTACTGAATAGCAGTGGGTTTTGGGGTGGGTCTACATATTTTACTGGCACTTTTCTGCAAAAAAATTAAGCAAAAAAGCCAAAGTATAAAAACAATACATATATAAAATGTAAAAATCTTTAATGAACCTGGTTGGAATATATACTACATCTACATATATGTATCATGTAGTATATATACATATATGTATCATGACTGTTTTTCCTTTAAAAAAAAGAGAAAAAAGGAAAAGACAGAGGGAATGTAATTTTTAACATACTAAGTTGTAGATTAATATTTTACTAAAAGGCAATGAGGTAAACAGTTATCTGGATACATTTTTAAGAACAATACAGAAATGTGTTAAAGAAGGCACAACCCACTTAACATGCCAAGTAAAATGTCAGCCTTCTATATTTGATTGGAAGATAAAGCAAGTTTCTTTTATATCAAGCTTGAAACATTTTCCTAAAATGGTTGTTCTTTTAGAATATATTAAATCGAATTATTTTTACAGAACCTTTTGAAATAATTTTTGAAAACAATTATCATGACTTCTAAAAAAATGACTTCTGACATTAGAAAATCGGCCTTATAATTCAATAGAAATACTGTTTAATAAGCTTTCACTGTTTACTTGTATTCATCAAATACCGAGACTACCTTATGTGAACATAAAAGCGATGTAGAATACTGTAATTCACAAAGCATGTTCAAACACTGGCATTGTTACAGTGTTAAGAATGAATTAAGCATCACTATATTTATAAGGAACTTTTAGAAAATGTCTGTGCTTTAAATTACTAATGAATTTACAGTTGTAAAATAATACTTGATAATTTACTTTGAAGTTAACATTTTCCAAGGAAAACACATCAATTCCACTTGTAGAAATTTAATTTTGAGAAAAAGCAAAGAGGTATTTAATTTAAAACATAAAGGACATTATTATGCATAACTATTAAAGTATGTGTGTATGTATGTATATATATTGGAAATAATTTTCCCTCCTCACAATAATCCTATTGTGGAAACCAGTGCTTCCCAAAGTGGGTGATACTGTCCTTTGGAGTTGGAGGACTGGGAAGAATGAACCAGGGTGCTGGATTATGGGATAAAGAGCAAAAGTTTTTAATTGCCAAAGGGGGAAGGGTTTGAGTAATTTTTTTCTGATCAGGAGGCAGTAGGGTAATTAAGTCTGGGAATCTATGATGTAAAAACAGTAAAAGTATGCTAATTCCTGTGCATCATCGGTTCCTAAACTTATTTGGCCTACCACCCCCTTTACAGAAAAATAAAGAATTACTCAGTTCCTTTCTGGCAATTAAAAACTTTTGTACTATAGTGCACAATACGGGATGATAAAGTGTAGGTATCTGCTGCAGCAGCCTCCCCCCGCCCCCAATTGGTCCAGCACCTCCCAGGGGGCAGTATCACCACATTGGGAAATATTGCTGAAGATGATGAAATTAGGGCTCAGAGACAACAGATAATGTTTAAGGTCACATAATAAAGGACAGAGGTGAAACACACCCTCAAGTTTTCTGCCTGTTACTTTGGTCCTCTATCCTCTACACTTTTTAGATTCTCTTTTTCCTATCCTCAGCTCTTCAAAAGTTCTACCTTCTCTAGCACTCTTTTTATTTTAAAAATAGATTTATGAGGACATAATCGAGATACACCATTCAATAGTTTACTCATATCAAGCAGTGCTGTACAATCGCAACCACAGTCATTTTCAAAATATTTTCTTCCTTCTTGTCTTCTTGGTATCGGCTGCTTATTACCTTCTCCCTCTCCTGCTAGGAACCCCATTCTAGTTACTGCCTGTACAGATTCACCCAGCTGGGTTTCATATACCGAAAACCATAGAAAGATAAGTAACAGAATCAAGAATGCAACAACATAGATAAGCCCCAATCTGGGAAAAGAAAAACCCAACATAATCCCAGAAAATTAAAAAAAAAAAAATCCAAAGGGAGATCAAATGATAAGGTTTTAACCATTCAAGTCAGATTTATCATGTTAATCTACTATAGTCCTTTCTCCAATGCTCTATGTATAATAACCAAGATTAGCCCCCTTTTTAATGCCTCTTTTGTAGCTACAGAGTATAAAGAAACAATGCCATTTCTTCACCCATTTAATTCAACAAATATTTAAGAAGTACACAATTCATAAGGATTACTGGTGGCATTGTGGGTTATGCAATGGGCTGCTAATCACAGGTAAACATTTCAAACTGACTGGTTGCCCCAAAGGAGAAAGATGAGGCTGTCAGTTCCAGGAAAAATTTACAGTCTCTGAAACTTGGTATAGGGCTGTGAGCTATGAGTCAAATCACCTAGATGGCAATAATACATAATTCCTAACAGGGAACAAAGGAATAAAATGCTCTAAATTCAATTTACCAGTATTTTATTACGGACTTTTGCATTGATGTTCATTAGATTATAGGTCTGAAGTTCTCAATTCTTATGGGACCACTGCCCACTTTAGGTATCAGTGTTATACTAGCTCCATAGAAGGACTTCAGGAGTTTGCCGTCTTTTTCTATGCTCTGGAAGAGTTTGTGTAGGATTGGTGTCATTTCTTCTCTGAATGCTTGGTAGAATTCTCCTGTGAAGCAGCCTAGTCCAGGGGATTTTTTTGTTGGTAATCCCTTGATAAACTTGTCTATGTCTTCTATTGGCATAGGTGTGTTGAGGTTCCTGACGTCCACCTGGGCTAATCTAGGGAGTGATTCTTTTTCTAAGTATTTTTCCATGTCTTCCAAGTTGTTGAATTCACAAAGTTCAAAATTACATAGTCCCTATTCATAAGAATTCAGTCTAGTGAAGGTATCAGACACTGGAAAAATTGTTATAATTCAATATAAATATAAAGGTGTTAAAAACATGGAGCTAAAACTGCACCACCCATAGTGTTTTAGTTTTCAAGAGTTCACATATTATTCCAATTACTGATGAGGAAGACAAAACTAAGGTTTGAGGTTTCATATAAGAAACCTCAAAAATCTGTTAATTTAAAATTATTACTATATTTTTGAAGAGTAAAAGAAAAGTATCTGTTTGGACAATTTTCTTGATACGATTAAACTATGGACTTGTGTGCCTTGTGGTTTATATGTCAATAAAACTGTTAAAAAAAGTTTCTCTTTGCTAATAAAACTAACCTAAGTGATTACAATTGTTTAATAATTTTTATAATACATTTGATTATCTAGAAAAATTTTTTGTCCTCTTCATAGCTATTACTTATATTCAAGATGTAAGAAACATGGAAATAGTAAGGCTGAGTACCACTGATTTTATTAGTTCTTAACAGCTGTAGTAGTAGTTGTGGGAAAAAAGTTGAACAAGTGGTGCGTACCAATTTAATGCAAAATGTTTGTGGAACACAATATTACCTTATCTTTCCAGCTGTTTTATCTATAGATTGCCTTATTTTCTTGGAGAATTGAAAGACAGATGACAGCAGCAAATTATCTCCCACGACCTGAAACATTAGAAAAAAAGCAAGAATTAAAATATTATCGCTGTGTTATATAATTATAATTATTTACAAGGCTTTTAACATTTATGCTAACTTTCATAAAATACAATTAAAATAATATTGTACCTATGCTGAGAGAAATAAATATTAATAACCTAGAGGTTATTGTCAAGCTTTAAAAATTATGTTAATATTCTTTTTTTTAAATCCATTTCATTCTATTTTCAATTACTATCATAACCCTGCCTCTTATACTTCCAATTAAATTTATCATAAAGTAATGATATAATTTAGAGTATTATTTATCCTTTCATTGAATACTATGAATATGTAATAGGTAAAGAAGAAGAAAATCCAGGGAAATCAGCAAATAATTTAAGATATGCACAGTAATTTTTTTTCTCAAAAGGACATATTTGGTGTTGGTCATCCCAGTTTCATATGGGTGAAACACCTGGTGTTAGCCAGCTTTTAAAGATTTAAAGCTTCCTGACTATACAGTCTTTGCCACAACTATTCAACTCTCCCACTACAGCAGCGGTTCTCAACCTGTGGGTCACAACCCCTTTGGGGGTTGCCCGATACATAAAAGTAGCACAATGACAGTTATGAAGTAGCAACAAAAATAATTTTATGGTTGGGGGGGGAGGGTCACTACAACATGAGGAACTGTAGTAAAGGGTTGCAGCATTAGGAAGGTTGAGAACCACTGCATTACACTATTAAAGCAGCCATAGGCAACACACAACAAATGAACAGGTTGGATTCTGAGAAAATTTTATTTACAAGAAGAGCATGTGGCAAACTGGAATCGGTCTGTGGTGGTTCATTATGGCAACACCTGGGCTCAAGCATAAAAGGTATAGCTAAAATAATATGTCAGAAAAGGCACTAAATTTTGAGCTAGATATAGGGTCCAAAATCAGCTCTTATATTGTCAGAACTCTTTTCATCTATCTTCTATTAACAGAAACATTTTCAAAAAACCTCTCTTTTTCCGGATTCATGATCTCAGTGTCTTAAGATCTTATCTCCCTTCAGCATCTGCAGGTCCACAATGACTTGGAGATCTCTGTGTCTTGGTATCCGTCTTCCCTTGGATCAGGGAAGTTCCTAGCCTAGGGACCTGGGTCCAAATGGGACCCTCAGCTCCAATAATTTATTTTTTGGTAGCAGCAGGTCTCTTTCTCTGCTTGCTGCTTCTTTTCTTTCTTGTCGGATAAAAAGAAACTCTCCTTACATGGGACCAGGGCTGTACCAGGGCTGTAACCAGATTAAGGATATTACATCCTTCCATTTATCACATCACGAGGGAGCATTACAAAATGGTGAAACCACTGAGAATCATGGCCCAGCAACTTGACACTTACTATTGGGAGAGAAAAGCCAGCCTATGACAGTCACTTGCATTTTTTAAAAGGTCACTTTTTTCTACTTTGGTTCATGACATACACACAATGATATAAACTTGGGTCATTTATTTTTTTTCCTTTTTATAATGTCATAACCCCCCTAGGAATCTACCACACAGAACAAAGGTAAAGCTTAACAATAATCAGTATGGCAGAGTAGATACTGGTAAAAATTATTCACTCCTTCCACTAGCAAGCGGTATGTTCCAGCCAGTGGGATGCTGTCAGCTCTGACACAAATAAAGGCTTGGAATGAGCTTGCCTGGTAGAGTTTGTTCTCTTGTGCATCAAATATGACAAACACAAATCCGCTTGCCCACTGGTACAAGAGAACATAGGAAATGTAGACCTCGCTGCAATTTTGAAATGCCCAGCTAAGCTATCCAAGTAAGCCTGCAGGTGAATAGTAAGTACTTATTTATTGCCTGATGTGATGGAGATGTTTGTGGTTGGTATAGGTTCACTATGAGGCACAATCAATTCAGTGGCAGTGAGTTTTGTTTTTTTTATGCAGAAATACTTGACAGCTAAAGTGTTTATCTATAGTTTCCTCCATCCCATCTGCCTGTGTCTTCCCAATGCAGGTAAGTATTATATTGTGCAGTAGAATATTGCCATGAGGCAGAGGTCAGCTATGCCTCCATGCTGCATCCTTCTTTTACCCTATTCTAACACTAACTGTTCTCACGATACTCTATAGACAATACCCACAATTAAGGAGGTTTAGTAGGGAAGTAAATACCATATATACTTGTGTATAAGCTGAGTTTTTCCAGCACATTTTAATGCAGTTTTTGTGGTAAAATGAGGTGCCTCAGCTGATATTCGGGTCGGCTTATACTTGAGTACATATGGTAGATTCCCACAAACCAGGTTCAGAAAACATTAAAAATGCAGTCATTGGTCCATTGCAACAGCTCACTTCAGCCAGTAGCCATATCTCTCTTTAGTCCTCAGTCTCACAGCATGTGGTCCCTTGGCCTCTGCCTCTGTGGGACAGGAAGCCAGCCTGATGCTCTAGCCTCATCGTTTCCACACTGCAACACTGCTCGGTGGTCCCTTGGCCTCTGCTGCCTCCAGTTTCTGGCACCTCGGAGTTCTTAAACACGCAGCGGGAGGTTTCCTTCCAGTGCTCTTGGGCTTTCTCTTGTTCCTAATTCTGAGGGCTCGTATGGAGGTGTGGTTACAGTCTTAGCAGACCATACCCCTCGGAAAGCAGGGTGTGACTTAAGTCACACACTCAAGTAGAGTAGATTAAGGATAATCCCACCTAATCTTGTTGCAGAGAACTCCCTCCAAAAATGTGATTGTAACCACAGACAGAAAGGCTAGAATTTATAATACATCCGTAAGGATTATGGCATAAGGGATTAAAGCTAGAAGGCCCAAATTAAGTAACTGGTTATATTTCATCTTGAATCACTCTTGCTTTCTTAACTTAATTAGACATTTTTTTGTTTTAATGTATGCTTTTTCTTTTCTTTTTTTTTTTAGATTTAAGAATGAGAATCATACTGTATGAGGGAACTTCAGAAAGTTTGTAAAAAAATTCCACTATCTCTTCATTCCATTTTCTCACAAACTTTTTGATGTTCCCAAATATAAAATTTTTGAGACTTAAAAAACGTTTTGCTTGGGTAATACATAATTGTGCTAAGATTCATTTACGAAGCAACATGTTGCTAGAGTTCAATGTCTTAATAATTTTATAATGGTTCAATTTGTGAGTATATCAGTTTACAATTAAATTTTCTGCTGACACGGTTTCCAAGTTTTTGTTATTGTGAATATTGCTGCTATAAATGTTCTCGTGCCTTCTATTATCACTGCAAAAGGGTTTCTCCTGTGTTACAATAGGAGTAAAACTACTGGTTCAATAGTATGTAGTATGTATAGTTTCAACTTTTAATTTTTTTAAAACATTGTTTTGTGAGTTGGGTGAAGGACTACAGGGTAGATCTTCAGTTTTACATTCAACGATTCCTATACAGTTTGTTTCAAATCATCCACTGCTAATTCCTTTAATGTGTTAACACTTATGCCACTTCATGTATGTGTTTCCTGCCTCCCTTCCTCTTTCTTTCTAACCTTCTGAACCTTGTCCTTGGGTAAAGAGTACTTTTTGACCTTAGGATTCTAACATGGGAGGAGTTCAATTCTAAACCTGAATGGTGATTACTTGCCAGTGTTTTGGGGGTCCTACCAATCTCTGTCCTACCAGTAAGCAGTGTCTCTTTTGAGATTTTGTTCCTTTTTCTCCTACTGTATTTAGAAATTAAAAAAAAAAACATTTTATTGGGGGTTCTTACAGCTCTTATCACAATCCATCCGTCCATCATTTCGTACATATGTTGCCCTCAACATTTTCAAAACATTTTCTTTCTACTTGAGCCTTTGGTATCAGCTCATCTCCCCACCACCCCCGCCCTGAACACTTGATAATTTATAAAAATTTTTTTCATGTCTTACACCGACTGCTGTCTCCCTTCACCTACTTTTTTGTTGTCCATTCCCCTGGGAGGGAGCTATATGTAGATTACTGTGATCGGTTTCCCCTTTCTTCCCCCACTTTCCACTTACTTAGAATTTTCCAATGTGATCCCTTTCGGAACAATTGGTATGTAGGGGACACCATTAGATTATTCTTGGTTCAGGGTCTGTGTGCTCTATAAGTTCCTCTGTACTAATTGTTTCCATGTGTCTTTCAATTTTTACGGTGCTGCTTTCTTCTGAATGAGAAAGCCCAAAAATTGCACCTAGGTGGCCGATCAGGAGCTTTTCAGACTCTAGTCACTGTGCAAGCTCACAAAGCAGGGTGTGGGACATCGTCTTTGTGAACTGCGTTCGACTAAATGACCTCGGTGTCCCTTGAGACTATGGTCTCGAACCCCTCAGCCTCATTCTCTCTAGGTGTTTGGTGATGTCCAAGAAGTTTTTATAACTTTACTTCAGTATGCTTCAGCACATCCATGGATACATTTGCAGCAAAGGTAATACATACATGTAAGTATCCTCTGCCAAACCCATGCATATTTGTGGCACACTCCCACTTTCTCTCCACACTACGGGCTCACTTTAAGAGATAACGTCCAACTGTTTCCCCATTTACCCTTATCCCAGCAACTTTAATTAGCGACCGTATGGTTCCACATCTTTGCCAACAGTAATATTTTAAGTAATTTTAATTTGTTGCAAACTGAACAGATACAAAATAATCCTTTTGTAGTTTTGACATGCATTTCTCTAATCACTGAATTTTTCTTTAGGGTGATTTCTCTAAGGACAGGGTTTTCAAAGTTGTAAGTAAATTGCCCCAAATCTGAGTGATTAAAAGTAATGATGTAAGATTCCATTCTAGTCCATACACTTCAATTACAAAGCGCTAAAAACCTCATAATGAGAACTAAGACAAATACACAAGATGATTAATTCTGGAGGAGTAATTGCTATGTTAAAATTTAAAAAAATAAAGACTTTTTAACATACTAGGAAATACCAACCCCACCCCCTCACACTGGAATCTCCCTAACCCCCCAAATGTATGTATTTAAATTTTTTTTTTTTTTAACAAAACAACCTTATCGCCTTTAAATTATTCTCCATTATACTTAATGTATTTGTCAAATCTGCGTGTTCCATTCTTGGAAACATTTTTCAAACTCATCTGTTTGGATGGCTGATAGCACCGCCCTCATTTTTTTCTGCACCTCTTCTACTTTGTCATATTGCTGTCCTTTCATGCCCCTCTTCATTAGCAGAAACAGAGAGGTCAGGTCAGTAAGGTACGTGGGGGCAAGAGAGGATGCTGTTTTTTGCCAAAAACAGGCACACTGACATGGCTATGTGAGCAGGTGTATTGTCATGTGGCAACACCAGTCCCCCATCTGACACAAATCTGGCCTTTTATGTCACAACTGTTACACTACCTTTTCGTAACCTCTAAATAGAAAGCGTGATAACAGTTTGACCTGGTGGAAGAATTCCAAATGCACTACAAGTAGATTATTTCCATCTGTTTTGGAAGTTGACTGATTTCCAGAATGAGGCTTGTCATCAATTGACATTTCACCTTTTTTGAAACAAGAAAGCCACTTGAACACTTGCTTCTTTCCCCCTAGCACTCTCCTTGTAAGCTGTGTTCAATATCACAACAGTTTCTGTGGCGTTTTTCTCAATCAGGAAACAATATTTCACAGCCACATGCTGTTCTCTTAAATCAGCCACCACAAAAAATGAGGTTCAAGTGAACTGCTTTTATGAAAAAATTCACTGTGATCAGAGAGAACCTTCCCAGGCAATGCCACTTGGGTGGACTAACTAGTTGCTTGATGCTAACCTTGTGTTCATACTATGCAATGCTAGAGATTGCTATGTACTCGTCTATTAAAAAATGAACAGAGAAAATAGAAAAGTAGCGTCGTGGTTAGATCTACTTAGCTATGGGAGAAGATTCTGCAAGTAAATGCCCTCATTTCAAATTCTGAATTCATCATTTACTGTCATACTTGGACAAGTTACTTTATCTTTCTGTACCTTAATTTGCTTATTTGTACGGAGTGCTGTAACCATCTGTATTTTTTTTTTTTTACCAATTCCTCATAAAGTCTAAAATCCATGTTGATAGTGCTCTCTCTTGCAGTATGGAATCAGATGAATATATATATTTTAAAGTAACAAATACATCACTTCTTAACCAGTAGTCTCTTTCAGTAACTGTCTGTCATGACTTGAATGACTTACTTCATCTCTGCTCCATGTTCTCCGCCTTGTAATTGTGAAGTGATCAGGAGTCTCTGGTGGCTGAGGTCTTGGCTCCCCAGATCGACCGTTGTTACCTTCTGGTGGTTTAGAATGAACCAATGGAGGGATTTTTCGGAAGTTGAGGCTTTCATCAAAAACACGATCAACCAACTAATGGAACAAAAGCAAAACCTTAGGAGAACAGACTGATTTATCAAAAGTATAGAAAATGGCATAATAATACTGATGACTAGACATGTGTTATTATTAAATTCTCAAGTACTAACAGAAACATGACACCTTCAATAAACCAATTACCTTTTCATTTAATCTATAAATGATTTCATTTAACCTATAAAATGTATGCTCTCTTACATTGATTTTATTTTTATAATCCAAAATATGAGTGTAAATCAAAATGTATTGCTACTAGGGTTCCAGTTCATGTATTCACAGGATAATTCTCTACTAAATGTTTAAGCATTTCTGTGCAATCAATGGTTTGTAACAGATGAGTCCGTTCATTAATACATCTGTCTTAATCTCATTAGGACACCTTCAAAAAAATTTTTTTAAAGATACTTTTGTGCCAGGAAAAAAGATGATTTCAAGGTCAAGGCTAACATCAAAATTTTAACAAAACTCAAGTGGACCTCTTCTCAAATCACTGAAGTGTTGAAACAAAGTAATGGGAATGCAGCCCCACATAAAGCAACAGTGTTTAGATGGATCAAACATTTAAAGGGAGACCAGGAAAACCTCAAAAGATTAATTCACAACAGAGTCTCAGCTCAGAGGTTATGGTGATTTTAGGAAGGGGAGGATCACAAACTAGTAATCTTGATAGATACTTCTCAAGGGACACAGTATGATGATGGGAGCTTCTTAATAAGTTGTTAAGAAAACTTACAACTCTACTGGTGAGTAAAAGGAAGTTTTAGATGAATTTTTTTCTCATCACGACAGAACTGCCCATTTTGTAAGGGTAGCAAGGGTTGTCCTTTGAGAAGGAGAAACCTTATAGTGCTAACCTGGCTCCTTCAGACATCTTATTGTTGCCTAGACTCAAAGTATCTTTAAAAGCAGCAATTCTCAACCTGTGGGTTGTGATTCCTTTGGGGGTCGAACGACCCTTTCACAGGGCTCACCCGTTTCATAACAGTAGCAAAATTACAGTTATGAAGTAGCAACGAAAATAATGTTATGGTTGGGGGTCACCACGACATGAGGAACTGTATAACAGGGTCGCAGCATTAGGAAGGTTGAGAACCACTGTTGAAAAGGAACATGATTTGAGTCCCCTTGAGGATGCTAAAGCTGTCGTTTTGATGTGGTTAACTTGAAGAGTGCTGGATTCTTTGGGAAGGGTCAACAAGATGGAAACGGCACCTTCAGAAGGTACGGACCGAGCATGAGGGCACGTGGAAAAGCAATAGCTTCACATTTCGATGCCTTAAAGGACCTAAGAGCTTCAGCAATACTATTTGACTTAGCCTTGTATGACTATTTTAAATTAGATTCTTCCATGGGTAGGAATATCCATCTATGGAAACTAGATGGAGAAAGGAAAAAAATGAGCCATCATAGATGGACAATGAATTCATTGCCTTACCGATAAAATGTTTCTTTTTCTTTTACTTTCCTATCTTTTTTTTTTCTTTCTTATATTCCTCCCCAAATCCAGGCACTAAATTTCTTCACAAGATAAACTGTAATTAAGTTTACAAAAGGGAAAAAAGTAATCTACAAAATACATAATTCAATCTTTGCCAGATAAGCTTTTAATAAAGCTGTAAAAATGATACATTTCTGTCCAAATGATATACTGCCGTTTACAGTAGTAATTGTTCCAATACAATACAAAGGAACTGGTTTTACTAAAGAGAAAATAAAACTACAGTATGATAATTAAAAATAAAAAGGGAAGATGAAAGTACATTCAATGAAATGTATGAATAATTTCACTAAAGTCTAGTGAATATATAATTATGCTATGTAAAACTGTTAGGCAGCTGAGAAAATAATATTTCAAATGTTCAAGCATTGTGTATGTCTTGCTACCATGAAGATTCTTTTGTTTTTCATCAATAAAGATGATTTTTCACATATTTGCAATTGATCAATGTGGTAACAAAACTACACAGACTAGCAAAATATTATTTACCAAATTAGATAGCAAATGAAAAAACAAATTTAAATAAAACAGTGACCATGAAATAACTAGGCTTAAAAAATCATGTGATAAATAACAATGAAAGAAATACTATCTTAACAGGTTACCAGAATTCGTATAAAGGATACTCATTTTTGGCTATCATTCAGAACATTATTATTATATAAAATAAGCAAGTGGAATGGTCTATATCAGGGGCTGGCAAACACTAAGTAATAAATATTTCAAGTTTTACAGTCAAATAGTATTCTCTGTCTCAACTATTTAACTGTGTCACTGAAGCACTGAAACAATTATGTTGTTAGGTCCTGTCCACTAAATTTCAACTTACAGCGACCTCATTTGTCATAGATGACACGTGAGGGACCGGGTTCTGAAAATACGATTTATTTATAGATAGTAAAGTTCAAATTTCAAACAAGTTTTATAACACAAATTACTTTTGTTTTGATTTTTTACAAAACATTTCAAAATGTAAAAACTATTTCTAGCTTTTGAGCCACACAAAAACAAGTGATGGATTTAAGTTGTTGACCCAGGAAACTGGGAAATTCATTCTTTCAAATGCTAATCTTTTGCTTGCACTTGGTTCCAAGTCAAGATGGCCAACTTGGCTGAAGAGGACCATTCATTTGTATTATAAGCTAAAAGCCACCATTTAAAGGAAATATTTTATAAGAGTATCCCTCAGAATTGTACAACAGGAAATTCTGCTTTTACATGAACAATAGTCTATACACATTAACTTAAGTTCCAAAGTTGACAAAAATATTTCAAAACTAAATAGGTGTATGTGTGTGTATATGTGTGCATATACAGACAGACCTTGTTTTACTGAGCTTTGTTTTGTTGCACTTTGCAGATATCGCACCTCTCCATCTTTTACAAATTAGAGGCATTGTGGCAACCCTGTGTCAAATAACGCTACCAGCATCATTCTTCTAATAGGCTATGCTCACTTTGTGTCTTTGTCACACAGCGTCTTCATGATACTACTGCACACTTTACAGAATACAGCATACTGTAAAAATAACTTTTATATGTACTAGGAAACAAAAAAAAAATACGACTTGTCTTCTTATTCAATGGTCTAGAACAGAACCTGCAGTATTTCCAAGGTATACTTCTGTGTGTGGGAATGCACTTATTTCAATTTTCAAAGCTTATTTCTCTCTATATGTGTATACATATAGAATTCATTAACGGGGCTATTTAAAGTGGACAATATGGTATAATTATTTATCTTATTTACCACGAGAAATATAGCTACCTATCTATGAAAATAGCTTTTTAATTGCAATTATTTTCATAGCCAAATTTTATTAGAGTAGCTTACCAATTTTACTTTTCAAGTATAATTTATATTCATATTTTAAGTGAAATTATGGACTCAAGAAGCAGTTTATTTCAAATTATTTTAAGTTTCCTTAAATGTTAGCCTTTATTGGTTTTGTTACACAAACAGAACAAAAATTTTTAAAGCAAAGTTGGAAAATGCAGTGCTTCATGCAAACAGGGAAGATGGATATAACTAAAATAAACTAAGCAAAATGCTAAAAGCAAAAGAAATAAAGAAAAGAAAGAACCTTATGCATTTCTCCATGAAGATCTCCTACCTCTTCTCTAGTGTCTATGGCAGAGCCAGGGGTGGTGGCAGCAGTGCTTACTGTGGTACTAGGGGCAGTGCCTGATGAAGTCACTGAATCTATCTCTCCTGCTACATCGTTGATTTCCCGAGCAATGAGAGCAAGATCTTGGCTGATCCTGGGAATAATTTTAGAAAAGAAGTTTAATTCTTTTAATTAACAGTCTAGAAAAAATAATTTATCACACAATCAGTTACACTGGTTTAATATCAAGTTAGTTTTGTATGTAAAACTTAAAGAGTCTCTGGAAATGCTATTCACTGTTTTGATACTCAAAATTTTAAGCCCTCGTTCAAATTAATAAAAAGAAATCCCAAATAATCTATAGTATACCACCTTGACAAGTATATAGTAAACAGCCTGAAATAGTGCTATGCCATATTCTAATATGTTATTAGTGTGACTATTAGTATATGAAAAAGGTGGTAAAACATTAAGGTGGTAATTAGAATATCAGGGGGCAATGAATTTGGATGAGAAAAGAAAAACCACAATGCTATTTTTACCTTAAGCAACGTTTATAATTTCTTTCAATTATAGACAATAAACCATATTAATAGTAGGAATACTGGTGAGTTTTGCTATGAGTATTTCAAAACATCAATTATATGCATAACATCAAAATTATTGCGGCCACCAAAAACAAAGGAGTAATATCTAATTTATAAGTTGTGAAAAGAACCACATTATCAATATAGTAGTTTATAATATTTTGATAACTGTATTTCAATATAATTGAATTTCTTTGTAACTAAGTATTTTATATTTATACATTTAGAAACATTATTCTATCATGAGACTAAAAGTACCTAGAGAATTAGGATGTTATGCTATTATATGCTTCATAATATGCTTTGTAATAAACAATTAAGGCTCAAAACGTTCTTGTGAGATGGGACTTTAGCTACTGATTTTTTTCAAAGAAGTCAAATAACTTGCCAGTAGTTACACAACTTTCCCAGCAGTCACGTAACTTAAAAGATGCTAAAACTAGATTCCAAAGTTAGATCTAATTTCTATGAAGTCTTGTGCTTTTTGGTCACATGAACAAAAGAACTAAATAATTATCAGCGATAATTAAAGAATAAAATAGGGGGGTAAAATCTAAAGAGAGTCAGTTATTGACATCTACTTTCTACTTCAATCCAAGGACCCTTGAATTTCTCCATTACACATCTACTGCACATGAACCAAATTTACATTCATAGGAAGGCTTTGGAATGACAGAATATTCTTTTTTTTTCCAAACTGACTCAACTTTTTATTTCACTCCGTGATACATACATAGACAGAATAATCTTAAAAGCACATGTAAAAGTTTCTGTAGCCTTAAAATAAAGCTAAAGCCCAACAGGAACAATTTATGATCACTATGTGGTGAAACCTGTAACAGCTGGAACTGCACTACTGCTGTGTTCTCCCAGGTCCTGCAAGTTTTCTGACTTTGATAGGGTACACTCTTGCCACTTTTCTATGTCTCCTTTTAGTGGAAAATAATTGAATTTTCATTCTCTGATAAGTTTCTTACTTACATAGGTTCCAGCTTTCATGTATACAATTCATAACAAATCATAGATGATTAATCCCTCTTTTATTTACCAATACAAAAATGCAGGAAGAAAACCAAGCAAGATTTCTAAGTCCTTACTCTGGACCCGGCACTGAGGACTACAACAGTGATGCTGGAATTCCAGGTCCTTGGCCTCACGGATTCAGAAGAAATAAAATAAGCAAACCGTAATGTAATAAGAACAATTATATTAAAATATACTGAGCACCATTATAAAAAAATCTTTAATTACATCATTTAATTCTCATAACTTTTTATTAAGTATACATCATCTTGGTTTACAGATGAGAAACATGATGCTTGTTGTTGTTAGGTGTTGCTGATTCTGACTCATATATGTATAGGGTCACAATGAGTCAAAATCAACAACAATAAGAACAATTGTGAGGATGGCACAGGACGGGCAGTGTTTCCTTCTGTTGTGAGCAAACACTGCCCCCTCCTGTGCCTTCCTCACGATTGTTATGTTTGAGTCCATTGTTGCAGACACTGTGTTCATCCATCCTGTTCAAGGGCCTTCCTCTTGTTCAGTGCCCTGCTACTTTACATGCATGCGATCCTTTCTCCAGGAACTGGTCACTCCTGACAACATATCCAAAGTACGCGAGATGATGTCTGCCATCTATGGCTCTAAGGAGTATTTTGGGTACTTCCTCCAAGACAGACCTACCTGTTCTATTGACGGTACATGGTACTTTAAATACTTTTCACCAACACCATAATTAAAATATAATGATTTCTTTTTCCAGGCATCCTTATTCAAAGTGCCTGTGTGGCAAATGTGTGGGTCAGGTGTACCTTAGTCCTTAGAGTAACACGTTCTCTGAATTTAAACTATGTTCTTTTCACACAACTGCCTCTTGGTCCATGTTTAAGATATACATGAGCACAATAAACTGTTTTGGAATTTCCATTTTTCTCAGGCTACCTATAGTTTGTTATGATCCATACACTTGAATACCTTAGCATAATCAATGAAACCAAAGTAAACATCTTTGTGGTAGTCTCTGCTTTCAGTCAAGATCCATCTGACATCAGCAATGACATCCCTTGTTCCACATCCTCTTCTGATCCAGCCTGAACCTGTCGCAACTCCCTGTCCATGTACTGCTGCAACTGCTGTAAGATCTTCTTCAACAAAACTTCACTTGCATGTGGTAGCAATGATATAGTTCTATAATTTGAGCATTCTGTTGGGTCACCTTTCTTTTGAATGGGAACATATATGGGTCTCTTTCAGTCATTGGCCAAGTAGCAGCTGTCTTCCAAATTTCTTGGCAAAGCATGGTGAGTGCTTCGTTTGTTGAAATATTTCAATTAGTAATCCATCACATAGATATTGATATGATCTTTTTGGGGGGAAGAAGGTATAATAAGTGATATAACAAGATCTTTTTTTAATCATAGCTGTATCTCACATTATAATGCATAAATGTTTATATATACATAAGGATAATTAAAAAGCCTTGTTTTTGGCTAATGCTTTCAGAACTGCTTGAACTTCCTTCAGTACCATGGTTCTTGATCATATGCTACCTCTTGAAGTGGTAGAATATTGACTGTGCATTCTTTCCATCTTTTGATGCATTCTGTATCATTCAGTAATTTGCCTATATAACCTTTCAATATTGCAACTCAAAGCTTGAACTTTTTTTCTTTATGTCTTTCAGTTTAAGTTATATTGAGCATGTTCTTCTAATTTGGTTTTCTAACTATATCTTTGCACATTTCATTATAATATTTTATTTTGTATTCTTGAGCTTCCCTTTGAAATGTTCTCTTTAGCTCTTTAACATCACTATTTCTTCCATGTGCAACTACTCTCTAATTAAGAGCAAATTTCAGAGTCTCTTCTGACATCCACTTTGATCTTTTTTTCCTGTCCTGTCTTTTTAATGACCCTTTGCTTTCTTCACGTTTGATGTTCATGATGTCACTGCACAGCTCATTGAATGTTCAATGCATCCAATCTAGTCTTGGGATGTTCTCGAAATTCACACGGAATAGACTCAAGTTGTATTTTGGCTTTCATGGGCATGTCTTAATTTTATTCAGTTTCAACTTGAACTTACCTATGAGAAATTGATGGTCTGATTCCAGTCAGCCCCTGACCTGGTTTTAGCTTCTGATATTAAGCTTCTCTATCATCTCTTCCCACAAATAAAGTCAATTTGAATTCTATGATTCCATCGAAGAAGTCCACATGGATAGCCATGTATTATTGAAAAAAATTATTTGCTATGAAGAAGTTGTTGGTCTTGCTGGCTAAATTCTATCGTGCTTTGTTTTTATCACCAAAACCTGTTTTATTTTCCAACTCCTGTTCCTTCCCCCTTGTTTCCAACTTCTGCATTTCAATGGCCAATGATTATCAATGTATTATGAGGGTATGTTTGCTCAATCTCTGGCTGAAGACTAGGTAGAATTCAATTTCGGTTATCACTAGCTTTAGCAGTGGGTGAGTGAAAATAAAGCACAAGAGAAAGCTATGTGATCTTTTCTGGGGAGAAGGAAATAAGTGATATAACGAGATCTTTTTTATTATATCTGTATCTCCCATTATAATTCATAGATGTTTATATATATATACATAAGAATAATTAAAAAGTATTGCTACCAAGGTCCTACTTCACACATGCACTAAGTCATACACCGAATTATGTGATTAAAGAGTAGAGGATTGCAGGTAGTTTTCTAAATAATACATTTGTCTTAGTCTCATTAACATGACTTCAAAAAAATAAAATCCAATAGAAACAGTAACTTCTGGGGGGGTGCATTTCTGCCCAGTTAAGTAATTCAAGGCAGAAATATCAGTTCAGAAAGTTAAGATAACGTATTGTTTTATTCCAAAAAATATTAAACTTAACTGGCAGGATATGAGAAAAATGCTTTGTGAATTCCTCTACACTAATAACTGACAAGATATTAAGAAAACAATACCATTCACAATGCACACATAAAAGATGAAATATTTAGGAATAAGTCTATTCAGAGATGCAAAAGACCAATTCAAAGAAAACTATAAAATATTTTTGTAAGACACCAAAGAAACCTACAAATGGACTTAGTGCAGATCTCCTGCCTGGAGGGTGGGTACGCAGTGGACGGTGGCCTGAGATTCTCATGTGCTATTTTAACACTCTCCTTATTAGGGAGAAAGACAAGGCTTTCTACTCCCATAAACAGTTATAGTCTCAAAAACGCAAAGTGGCTAGCCTTAGCCTGTCCTACAGGGTCACTATGAGTCAGCACTGACTCAATGGCAGTGAGTTTGGTTGCTTTATCATGACTTGTATTAATCTGGTAAGCATGGTTCTACCACTGTGAATAAATGTTATTGGAAGTTTGACCCACTACCAACAACCAATGTTTGTGTAAAAAGTGTCCAGTCACTTAAGAGATTAATCTGTGTAAGTTAACAATTCATGTATTGAGGTTTGTAGCTGGCCTTCAATTGTATAATGTCCTTTTCTGAACAGTGTTTTAAATTCTACACCACTGGCTAAATTAATGATACTATCAACAGAATTACCTTATGAACCAGA